ATTACACTTTACAGTCTGTACAATATAATAAACCAGCAGTAAAACAAAAAATATATATATTATATATTATATATATATATATTTATATTTATATAGGAGAAGACTGATGTCCAAAATTGATCTAAATTAATTGAATCATTTGTGGACAGAAGAAATATGGTACGTGAGGGTGAATTTTCTGCCTAACTGCAATAGGCTGAAAAAGTAGCTCTAAAGTCAAAAGCCTGAGGTGTAAAGAGACTCTTAGCTCCAACCTCCAAAAATTGCTTACCTACTCTATTTCTGGGCCAGCAATGGCTTAGAAGAGGAGGTCACTTCATCAGTTGACCTGCAACTCAGTTCATTAAAAACTCAGTGTAATAAATATCATGGTGCTGCTACATCATGCATGTATACATCCTCAACAGTATTTCGTAACTCTGAAGCAAAGTGCATTATTCCTCTCTGTCTATCAAGTACTCTTCAGTGTCATGGTACAAAAGGAACCCTCCACACACATTCTAGGTATGACAATGTCATCCAACTAGCAGATACCGGCTTGAACTAATAAGTCTGCTGAAAAAAAATTAGCAGACTATGTCCAATTAATTAAACATAAACAAAAATTTACAACCAAACCAAAGGAAATAGAGGTAGCCAAAGACTTCAGTGGAATGACAAAGAAGTGGCATATAAAAATAAAGCACACATATTGTCCCTAAAGCATGGGCTGGCTAGAAAGGCTAATAAAAGTAAACGAACTGAGGAGGCAGATGGATCTAGTATCTCTTCCTCTACTTCATCTGAGGAAGCCAAGAAAGAAAGATTCTTAAAACCACAGACTCCATGGTGTCCTTAATTACAATAGTTCATACTGGCGAAGATGCATTCTCTGAATGATGTCTCTACAATCATTGAACACTCTCCGAATGTTTTCAGTGTCGACTGCACATGTGAAATGTGGATAGCAATAATGCTTTCCATCTCCGGTTGCCGTACTTATTCGCTGTAAGAGATAATGAAACAAACACTGAAAACTAAGTTTTCCCAAAAAGTTGGATAAAAAGCACTTTTGGGAAATGACAACAAGATGCGTGAAGACTGGTCAGTGGAGGACAATCTCAAGCTAACATCTCAAGAGTTATATGCATTAAACCTGCTTATCCAAGGAACATCTGGACGGCCCAGAGATTAAACCCCCAAATGTCTTGTCTAAAACTGAATAAAGACAGTAGGCTGAATATATTAATTTTGCTACTTATTCACCAGGTAGCTTAGCCTGATTTTCCATTTAAAAAAATGCATTGAACTATAGGTTTATTACACTGCAACTATAGCTAAAAAAGACAGACAAATATATGAGCAGATAGTATTACATTTGTGGACACAATCAAATATAGATCAGTATGTTGATGGAAAGAGAAGTAGGGTTTTATGGTAGCATGTGGGATTTCCTTTTTGCATGGTTTGTGTAGCTTATAAAGAGGTGATGATTTAAAAAACAGACTGTAACAGTCTGTAATTTAATGATTGATTTCAAGTTATAGTTGCTTTTACAACAAAGCTTACAGAAAAATAAAACTTGGTATTCAAACAAATTTATGGATAGGTTAGTACAATCTTCCAAAAATCATCAATACTTACTAAAAATTCATCTCGGATAAAAAACTTTGCTCTTGTTACTTTGGGATCTTCTCCTGCATCTGGTGTTGCTGTAATGAACATGAAATACCTATTCATATCTATGCAATATAAATTTTTAAAAAATCTGTGCATAGCATCTATGTTATCTTCATGCAAAATCTATATACAGGTCAGGAAGCCACAATATGGACAGAACATGGTGAAACAGACTGGCTCCAGGTTGGCAAAGGGGTGAGACAAAGCTGTCTGCTTTCCTCTTATTGATTCAACCTATATGCTGCATCTATATTAAGGGAAGCTGGATTTGAAGTAGATGAGTGTGATTTTAAAATTAAAGAAAGATCAATAACCTGTGCTATGCTGATGATACTACTCTGATAGCCAAAAATGCAAAGGAGCAGTAGATATTCCCTGTAACACTCAATGGAAATGAAAGTTGGATTTTGAAGAAGTAGGATAGAAAGAGTATTGACAATTTTGAACTTTGGTGTTAAAGAACACACCTGAGAATGCCACTGAACAAATGATCAGGCACAAATTATCCTACTTTGGACACATTATGGGAAGACTTAACTCTCTGGAGAAGGCTCTAATGCTAGGAAAGATGGAAGGAAAGACAAGAGGATGATCAGTAGCAAGGTGGATGGACTCAATGAGTGCACCATTGGAAGACCTGAAAGACCAGGTTAGGGAGAGAACATCATGGAGAAAATCTATCTATGCAGTTGCTAAGAGTTCACGCTGACTTGATGGCACATAATTAATCAATCTTATATGTCAACAAGCATTCTAATTCTTTAATCATAAGAGACTTTAGTTCAGAAACTCACCATCTTCAGGTACAGTGTAACGTGTAAATTCAGGAAAATAATCTTCAATTTTAGATTTCCCTGCCAAGACCTTTTCAGCAAGCATGTCTTGTTTGTTCAAGAACAAAATGATAGAAATTGTCCGTAACCACCTGTAAAGACGCAAATATTAATTCAGAGTCCAATGTAGTGCACAAACATATCTATGTAACTGTTGACTTTTATATTTTCTAAGAGAAAACAGCCACACAGGGAGGAAAATCTTTTTTCAGACCACCTGGGAGTTACAGGATATCCATTGAAACCAAATATCTATTAAATCTGAATTGATGTAATTGATGTTATTTGAGTTAATATAACTTGCATAAAAATGATGTAAACTGACGCAGTCGCTGTACATTGGGTCAATGGTTCAAACTGCTTCAGAATGGGAAGTCCATAAAATCAAGGTTTTGCTATACCTCATTAGTCTGAGAAGCTTGTTTATAATAATGCTAACAAAACCAAGTACTTATCTGAAGATTGCAACAATTATTAAAATCAGAACAGGCATGTAGAATTTGTTCCACCAGATCTTCACAAAAATCCTCCACCCATCCTAGATACATTTTTACCAAACTAATATAGCTGATTTGTGCACAGGTATCTTGCCTATTGTTCCAGATGCTTTTGAAGAGATCTAAGGACTCGCGTAATCTGTTTGTGTTGTTGTCTTCTCTTATGACCATATTGTAGCTGCTACAGGCCACAACGAAGATAATAGCTGTGACATCTAAGAAAGAACATACCATAGATAGAATAGAAAGTAAGATTGAACCAGAAACAGTATGCTTCCCAAGTATAATAAATGCAATGTAATTATAAACAAAATTATGAGATTTTAAAGGATGAAACAATAAGCCCTGATAAATTAAATAATACATATTTGCAATATGAAACAAAAACCTTTCAGATCTAATACAGAATGTGAAAATATTACTTACCATTAAAGCATTGGATCCATTTTCTTCTTTCATCTCTCTGACCACCTACATCAAACATGCTGTTGAAAAGCCAGAGGCTATTATCCTTTTTGAATGTACAAAGAAAATCACATTTGCCTAATGTGCACTTATTTTTTCAAATGAAAATGAAAATGCAATAAATATTGCATGAAAGCAAAAAGGAACATTCTTTTGCAATAACTGTTGCGAAAAGTCCCATTGCTAGGGCTGTGTTTTGGCCAAATTTAGGAAAGGAGGTACCAAGAAATAGGGAGCCATTTAGTGTTGATAAGTTCAACTGTAAATAGGGAAAAAAGTGTGGTTGAGTACACTCAAAAGTTATATTCAAATCTAAATAAAAAGAATTGGCCAAACCAAATTATAGGGATGGGGATTCCATGTGTAAGGCAATTCACAGAAGGATAGGTGAACTTTTGAATTTCAGCAAAACTTCTGCAGTGTATTTAGTCTTACTAGAATTATATATGTAATAATTTAATCTTTAGGGGTTAATATACTCTTGAGAATATTCTAGACTAAAACTAACAGGCAGGTGTGACATATTAAAATTAATAGCTAGGGAAAAGCTTACTATAGCCAGAAGAATAAAAATATTAGTAACAATATTCTGTGCGCACTATATTATTTATAGAAGAGCTATTCTTATTAAGTAAAATCAGAAAATTAGATTTTAAACATGGCCATTAAATTAGCTCCATAAATTAATGTACTCCTGCACTTTAACTCATTACATATGAAGTTATAGAAATACTAGTTTCTAAAACTGGAAATTCAATAGACTAATGTATCAAACAAAAATACTTAGCAAATGTATTGTCGAAGGCTTTCACGGCTGGCATACGATGGCTGGTGTGGGTCTTCCGGGCT